TCCATAATCAGATCTCTCAAAGCTTTGAAAAATAGGATCCACACACCTACCTGTCTTCTAGGTAAAGTGGTTCTCCAACCCTCTGTGAAATCGGTATAGATTTGGATGAAATGCAGGAGGTGGAGAAATATATAGCCCTACACAAAATCAAAAAGCTTAACACATACTTTTTTTTTCTAGCTTTATTGAGATAAGACAGACAGCATTGTGTAAGTTTGTATAATGTGTTTATTTGATATACTTACATATTACAAAATGATTGCTGCCTTAGTAAGCTAGCACTTGCATTATGTTACATAAATTCCATCTCCTCTTTGTTCTGAGAACATTTAAGATGTACTCTCTTACCAACTTTCTATTATATAATATGATATTTTGAACTATCATCACTGATGTATGAGATGCTCAGAACTTACTTATCCTTTAGTAGCTGGAAGTTTATACTCTGATCAGCATGTCTTCTTTTCCTACACTCCTAGCCCCCCCTCATAACCACCATTCTAGTCTCTATGCATTTGGCCTTTCTAGATTCTACATATAAGTGGTACAGTATCTGTCCTTCTCTGTTTGACTTATTTCACTTAGTGTAATACCCTCAAGGTCCATCCATGTTGTCACAAATGACACGTTGCTTGTCTTTCTCACATCTAACTAATGATCCATTGTATTTATGCATCTTCTTTATCCAACCCTCTGTTGAAGGACACATAGGTTGTTTCTATATCTTGGCTATTGTGAATAATACTTTGGTGAACATTGGAAGTGAAGATACCTCTACAAGATCCTGTTTTCATTTGCTTTGGATATATACCCAAAAGTGGGATTGCTGGGTCATTATGTGGTTCTATTTTTAATTTTTTGAGGAACCTCTGTTTTCCATAGTAGTTGCACCAGTTTACATTCCCACCACAGTGGAAACGTTTCCCTCTTCTCCACATCCGTGCCAGTACTTCTTAGCTCTTGTCCTTTTGATGATAGCCATTCTAACAGGTGTGAGGTGATAGCTCATTGTGGGTTTGAGTCCCATTTTCCTGATGATTAGTGATGTTGAGCACATTTTCATGAACCAGTCATGTTGGACATTTGCATATCTTCCTTGGAAATAGTCTATTCAGTTCTTATGCCCATTTTTTTTAGTCTTTTTTTGTTGTTGTTACTGAGTTGTGTGGATTCTTTATTTTAGATATTACCACTTTATAAGGTAATATAATTTCCAAATATTCTCTCCCAGTCTGAAGGCTGATTTTACATTTTGTTTATGATTTCCTTTGCTGTGCAGAAGCTTGTTAATCTGATGTAGTCCAGCTTGTTTATTTTTGCTTTTGTTGTCTTTGCTTGGTCAAATCCAGAAAATCATTACTAATATTGATGTACAAGAGCCTACATGAAGCTTTTTTCCTAGGAATTTTATAGTTTCAGGTCTTACATTCAAATCTTTAATCCATTATGAGATGATTTTTTGTGTGTGTGATGTAGATAGGAGTCCAGTTTCATTCTTTTTTTTAATCAGATGTACAGCACAGTGGTTTAACAGCCCTGCTCCCCTTCTCCCTTGCCCATTCCCCTCCCCCTTGGTAACCACAAATCACTTCTCAGTGTATATGAGTCTAATGCTCTTTTGTTCCTTCTCTTTTGCTTTGTTTTTATATTCTACAAATAAGTGAAATCATATGGTATTTGTCTCTCCATCTGGCTTGTTTCACTGAGCATAATACCCTCTAGGTCCATCCATGTTGTTACAAATGGCAGGATTTGTTTTCTTTTAATGGCCGAATAATATTCCATTGTGTATATGAACCACATCTTCTTTAGCCATTCATCTATTGATAGACACTTATGTTGCTTCCATGTCTTGGCTATGGCGAACAGTGTGGCACTAAACCTAGGAGTACATATATCTTGAATCAGGGATTTTGTTTTCTTTGAGTAAATTCCTAGGAGTGGAATTACTGGGTCAAATGGTATTTCTATGTTTAGTTTTTTGAGGAACCTCCATACTGCTTTTCACAGTGGTTGCACCAATTTGCAGTCCCACCAACAGTGTAAGAAGGTTCATCTTGCTCTGCATCCTCACCAGCATTTGTTGTTTCTTGCATTTTGAATGTTGGCCATCCTAACTGGTGTGAGGTGATATCTCATTGTGGTTTTGATTTGCATTTCCTTGATGATTAGCGATATGGAGCATCTTTTCATTTGCCTGTTGTCCATTTGTATTTCTTCTTTGGAGAAGTGTCTGTTCACATTTTCCACCCATATTTTGATCAGTTTATTTGTTTTCTGGGTTTTAGAGATGTTTGAATTCTTTATGTATTTTGTATGCTAATCCCTTGTCAGTTGAGTCATTTATGAATATATTCTCCCATACTGTAGGATACCTTTTTGTTCTTCTTATGGTGTCCTTTGCTGTGCAGAAGCTTTTTAGTTAGGTATAGTCCCACTTACTCATTTTTGGCTTTGTTTCTCTTGCCTGAGGAGATGTGCCCAGAAAAAATTGCAGATGCTTCTATTCAGGAGATTTTTGCCTATGTTTTTCTCTAAGAGTTTATGGTTTCATGACTTATATTCAGGTTTGTGACCCATTTTGAGTTTACTTTTGTGTGTAGAGTTAGACAATAATCCAGTTTCATTCTCTTCCATGTAACTGTCCAGTTTTGCCAACGCCAGTTGTTGAGGAGACTGTCTTTTCCCCATTGTATATTCATGGCTCCTTTATCATGTATGAATTGTCCTTATATGCGTGGATTTATATCTGGGCTTTCTATTCTGTTCCATTGATCTGTGGGTCTGTTTTTTTTTTTTGCCAGTATCAAATTGTTTTGATTACTGTGGCTTTCTAGTAGAGCTTGAAGTCAGTGTAATCCCCCCAGCTTTGTTATTCTCTCAGGATTGCTTTGGCTATTCATTGTCTTTTGTGATTCCATATAAATTTAGAACTGTTTGTTCTAGTTCATTGAAGAATGCTCTTGGCAGTTTGATAAGGATTGCACTGAATCTCTAAATTGCTTTAGTCAGGATGGCCATTTTGACAATATTAATTCTTCCTACTCTTGAGCATGGAGTAGATTTCCATTTTTTGGTGTCTTCTTTAATTTCTTTTCAGGGTTTAGGTTTTTCACCTCTTTCATTAGGTTTATTCCTAGATATTTTATTCTTTTTGATGTAATTGTAAATGCAGTTGTTTTCCTGATTTCTGTTTCTACTAATTCATTGTTAATATATAGGAATGCAACAGATTTCTGTGTGTTAATTTTGTATTCTGCAATTTTGCTGAATTCAGTTATTAGTTCTAGTAGTTTTTTGTTGGAGTCCTTAGGGTTTTCTATGTATAATATCATATCATCTGCAAACAGTGAGAGTTTAACTTCCTTACCAGTTTTGATGCCTTTCATCTCTTTGTTTTGTCAGTTGCCTTGGATAGGACCTCCAGTAGTCTGTTGAATAAAAGTGGTGAGAATGGGCATCCTTGTCGTGTCCTCTATCTTAGAGGAAAAGCTTCTAGCTTTTTGCTGTTGAGTATCAAGTTGGCTGTGGGTTTGTTATATATGGCCTTTATTATGTTGAGGTACTTGTGCTCTATACCCATTTTGTTGAGAGTTTTTATCATGAATGGGTGTTGAATTTTGTCAAATACTTTTTCAGCATCTATTGAGATGATCATGTGGTTTTATCCTTTATGTTAATGTGGTGTGTGATGTTGATGGATTTATGAATATTGTACCGCCCTTGCATCCCTGGACTAAATCCCCCTTGGCCACAATGGATGATCTTTTTGGTGTATTTTTGGATTAGGTTTGTTTATATTTTGTTGAGGACTTTTGCATCTATTTTCATTAGGGATATTGGTTTATAATGTTCTCTTTTTGTGGTGTCTTTGCCTGGTTTTGCTATTAGAGTGATGCTGGCCTTATAGAATTATTTTGGAAGTATTCCCTCTTCTACTTTTTGGAATGCTTTAATAAGGATGGCTATTAGCTCTTCTTTAAATGGTTGGTAGAATTTGGCTGTAAAGCCGTCTGGACCTGGTATTTTGTGTTTGGAGGAGTTTTTAATTACCAGTTTGATTTCATTTCTGGTAAGTTGTTCAGATATTCTGTTTCTTCCTGCGTCAGTCTTGGAAGATTGTATTTTTCTACAAAGTTGTTTATTTCCTCTAAGTTGTCCAATTTATTGGCATATGATTTTTCATAGTATTCTCTAATAATTATTTGTATTTCTGTTGTATCCTTTGTGATTATTCCTTCTTCATTTATGATTCTGTTCATGTGTGTACACTCTCTTTTTTCCTGATAAGTCTGACTATGGGTTATCTGTTTATTTTCTCAAAGAACCAGCTCCTGGTTTCATTGTTTTTTTTCTATCATTTTGTTCTTCTCTTTTTTCCAGTTTTATTATTTGGCATGGTTGTCTAGTTTTCCCAGCACCAATTATTTTATTATTTTTATTGAAGTATCATTGATATGCAATCTTACATTATTGTTAAATATACAACATAGTGGTCTCTTGGTTACCCATATTATTAAATTATCACTCCCACTAGTGCAGTTACTATCTGTTAACATAAAAAGATGTTACAGAATCATTGACTATATTCTCCATGCTGTATTAGTATCCCAGAGGCCAACTTATATTATGATTGAGAATTTTTGCCCAGCACCATTTACTGAAGAGACTATTCTTTTCCCATTATATATTTTTTGGCTCCTTTGTCATTAATTGGCCATATATGTATGGGTTTATTTCTTGGCTCTCTCTTACATTCCATTGATCTATGTATCTGGTTTTGTTTTATTACTGTAGTTTTGTGTTACAGTTTGAAATCAGAAAGTGCAATGCTTCCAGCTTGGCTCTTTCTCAAGATTGCTTTCACTCTTTGTAGTTTTGTGGTTCCATATAAATTTTTTCTATTACTGTGAAAAGTGACATTGGAATTTTAATACTGATTGCATTGAATCTGGAAGTACATATTTTAATTGAAAAGCTTGCTTGGTTTTTTGTTTTAGACAGTTCTTCAAAATCCTGTGTGCCATCCAGAAATTGTTTGGATTTATATGAAGAAATCCTGACTGAAGAAGGAACAGCAAAGGAGGCAACATATAATGATGTATGTACAGGTTGCCAGAATTATTACAGTTTTTTTTTTTTGTAGCTCCTGAAGTGCAAGCATCAGCTTACGAAGGAAGAAACATTCTGTATTTAGAACGTGAGTTCTTAGACTAAAAGAACACTTAAGATAGTTCCTGCCTGCAGATCTCTTTCTTAAGACAAATGTTGTCTGAGTACTTGTCTACATTTAGTTGTAATTTTGCTTGATTAAATATAAGTGTCTGAATATACGATCTCAAAGGCGATCAGTGTTATATAACATAACATTTTATCTTTTCATGATATCACGTAAGTAATAAAATGTTCCGAGACTTAAATCTGATGAATTTATTCTGACCTTACTTGAATTTTAAGGCTTGAAGATTGAGTATGAAACTAAAGAATACGTTATTGGTAGGGCCAACTTTTAAAAGCCAGTAATCTTATTAAATACATGCAAGTAAAAATAGATGTCCTCTATCTTTCTTAGTAGGTTGATTTTCAAAATTTTAAATATTTTATAATATCATTTGAGATAAAAATAATTTAGAATGATGCTTAAATTATTCCTTCTATGTCTTATAGTTGCAAGTAGAATATGGAAAATGTCAGCTGCAAATGAAAGAGCTAATGAAAAAGTTTAAGGACATACAGACACAGGTAGGATTGAATATTTTATGTTTGCCTTATTAACTTTTTAAATCAAAATTAATAAGATTTTTAGTTAGAAATTAAAATGCTGAAGTTTTTATAAGGAAACTCTTTTTTAGTATTAAAATAAAATAGCATATCTGGCAAAATATGCACATTCTTTCCTGTGTAAAGAAGTTTATTTAGGAAAATAACCTGATTTGTTAAATGAGATTGACATGAAAGATTGGTTAGACGAGCTACTAGTTTAATGATTGAAAATTCATAGAGTTGATATCAGGTGGCTTCAAAGAGAGTGGTTTGAAGAGTAAAGATTTAGAATGGCTGTTGTGGGAAAATGGTGATGCCTTCACAGTTTTTGCCAGTGACCTTTTGTGATCATGCTGCAAGAACCAGGAATATCATGTCTTGTTCTGATTTTTGTGTTTTGGTAAAGTTGTTTCTGTTCCTTTTCCCTATCCCCCAAAGAACCAGGCAATTCTAAATTCATTCATCTGAGAATTAATATGTTGTTGCCAGTTAAAGCTAAGTTCTTAATATAATGATTGTTTTATCATTTTTAGTTTCAATTTTCAGGATAATGACCCAGGCAGAAGTGTTTTCTTACCATTTATTGCTTTTCATTTTGATTGCTGTTTTAAGTGCTTTCACTTTAAATGGTGCCAGTTATCTTCTCTGAGTCTCATCTTCTCCATCTTTAATGAGCATCACTACTTCTCATTGGACTTTTTTGGTAATTACATAAGATAAAATATGTGATGCCTGGCATGTGGATGGCACTTGATAATCATTAGCTGTTGCAGGTAGTAGTTTAATGACCCTGTAGAGATGTGCTTTATTGAATATATTCTATGTTTAGAATTTCAGCTTAAAAAATGAAAATCAGTCTCTGAAGAAGAATATTTCAGCACTTATCAAAACTGCCAGAGTGGAAATAAACCGCAAGGATGAAGAAATAAATAATCTTCATCAAAGGTATAATTGAAGGATGTGATTCTGTTTGTAAATTATGGGGTGTTGATATTTGGATATCTTTTAACTTTGGAAAAGTATGAAAATCATGTATTTTATTAAAAATTTAAGGTTATACTCTGACTAATATTCTAATGATAATCATAATGATATATGCATGATTATTGCATGCATATATGTATATCATTATGCTTATATACCATTAGTGGTATGTATTGCCACATACCTGTCTGCATATATTCAGGTTTCTAATACACTGGGATCTTGCTGTGGTACTTTGCTCCTCAGAAGATGATGATATATATGTCATGGGTTTTTCTAGGCCCATTAAAAAAATTTTTTTTCTTTAAATTTCTATTGAAGTATTGTTGGTAGATAATCTTTTTTTTTTTTTTTAAACAATTTTATTGAAATATAGTTGACATAATACTACATTAGTTTCAGGCATACAACATAGTGATTTGACATTTATATACATTACAAAATGCTCACCACTATAAGTGTAGTTACCATCTGTCACCATACAAAGTTATTACAATGGAATTGACTGTATTTCCTATCCTGTACTTTCATCCCAGTGACTTACTTTATAATTGGAAGTTTCTTGTTGGTAGATAATCTTATATTGGTTTCAGATATATAACAAAGTGGTTCAGCAGTTACCCATATTATTAAATCCTTACCCCCAGTAGTGATTACTATCTGTCAGCATAGAAAAATATTAACAGAATCATTGACTGTAGTCTCCATCCTGTGCTACAATCCCCATGACCAACTTACACTATGGTTGAGAATTCTTGTGCCTCTTTATCCCCTCCCCCCCTCCCCCATGATAACTACTACTCACTTCTCAATGTCTATGACTTTGCTGCTGTTTTGTTCATCATGTTTTGCTTTGTTTTTGTATCCCATAAATAAATTGAATCATGTGATATTTTTCTTTGCCTGGCTTATTTCTTTGGGCATAATAAACTGAAGATCATCCATGTTGTGACAGGGTTTCTTTTTTTTTTTTAATGGCTGAATTATATTCCGTTGTGAATATGTACCATATCATTTTGTTTCTACATTTTTTTAAATAAGGTACCATCGACATACAATCTTACAAAGATTTTACATGAGCAACATTGTGGTTACAACATTCACCATATTATCAAGTCTCCACCCCCAATGCCCCACTGCAGTCACTGTCCATCAGCATAGAAAGATGCTATATAGTCAGTACTTGTCTTCTCTCTGTGCTATACTACCTTCCCCATGACCCCTCACATTATGTATGCTAATCATGATGTGCCTTAATCCCCTTCTCCCTCCCTCCTCACCTGCTTCCCTGAGGTAACCACTAGTCCCATCTTGGAGACTGTGAATCTGCTGTTGTTTTGTTTTTCAATTTTGCTTTGTTGTTCTATGTCACAAATGAGGGAAATCATTTGGTACTTATCTTTCTCTGCCTGGCTTATTTGACTGAGCATAATACCCTCTAGCTCCATCCATGTTGCAAATGGTAGGATTTGTTTCTTTCTTATGGCTGAATAGTATCCCACTGTGTATATGTACCACATCTTTATCCATTCACCTATTGATAGACACTTTGGTTGCTTCCATATCTTGGCTGTTGTAAATAGTGCTACAGTAAACATGGGGGTGCATATGTCTTTATGAATCTGAGAACTTGTTTTCCTTGGGTAAATTCCTAGGAGTGGAATTCCTGGGTCAAATGGTATTTCTATTTTGAGTTTTTTGAGGAACCTCCATATTGCTTTCCACAATGGTTGAACTAGCTTACATTCCTGCCAGCAGTGTAGGAGGGTTCCCCTTTTTCCACATCCTTGCCAGCATTTGTTATTCTTAGTCTTTTGGATGTTGGCCATCCTAACTGGTGTGAGGTGATCTCATTGTGTTTTTTATTTGCATTTCCCTGATAATTAGTGATATGGAGCATCTTTTCATGTGCCTTTGTCCATCTAAATTTCTTCTCTGGAGAATTGTCTGTTCATATCCTCTGCCCATTTTTTATTTGGGTTATTTGCTTTTTGGTTGTTGAGGTGTGTGAGTTCTTTATATATTTTGGATGTTAACCCCTTGTCGGATTTGTCATTTACAAATATATTCTCCCATACTGTAGGATGCCTTTTTGTTCCTTTGATGGTGTCCTTTGCTGTAGAGAAGATTTTTAGTTTGATGTAGTCCCATGTGTTCGTTTTTTGCTTTTGTTTCCCTCACTCAAGGAGATGCATTCAGGAAAAAGTTGCTCATGTTTATATTCAAGAGATTTTTGCCTATGTTTTCTTTTAAGAGTTTTATGGTTTCATGACTTACATTCAGGTCTTTGATCTATTTTGAGTTTACTTTTGTGTATGGACTTAGACAATAATCCAGTTTCATTCTATTGCACGTAGCTATCCGGTTTTGCCAACACCAGTTGTTGAAGAGGCTGTCATTTCCCCATTGTATATTCATGGCTCCTTTATCGCGTATTAATTGACCATACATGCTTGGGTTTATATCTGGGCTCTCTGTTCTATTCCATTGATCTATGGGTCTGTTCTTGTGCCAGTACCAAATTGTCTTGATTATGGTGGCTTTGTAGTAGTGCTTGAAGTTGGGGAAAGTAATCCTCTTAGCTTTATTCTTCCTTCTCTCAATTGCTTTTGCTCTTCAGGGTCTTTTGTGATTCCATATGAAATTTAGAACTATTTGCTCTAGTTTGTTGAATAATGCTGTTGGTATTTTGATAGGAATTGCATTGAATCTGTAGATTACTTTACGCAGTTTGGCCATTATGACAATATTAATTCTTCCTATCCATGAGCACAGGATGTATTTTCCATTTATTGATATCTTTTTTAATTTCTCTTAGGAATGTCTTGTAGTTTTCAGAGTATAGGTCTTTCACTTACTTGGTTAGGTTTATTCCTAGGTATTTTATTCTTTTTGATGCAATCGTGAGTGGAATTGTTTTCCTGATTTCTCTTTTTGCTAGTTCATTACTATTATATAGGAATGCAACAGATTTCAGTGTATTAATTTTGTGTCCTGCAGCTTTGCTGAATTCTGCTATTAGTTCTAGTACTTTTGGGATGAGCACTTTAGAGTTTTCATGTACAATATCATGTCATCTGCAAACAGTGACAGTTTAGCTTCTTCCTTACCAATCTGGGTGCCTTTTATTTCTTTGTGTTGTCTGATTGCAGTGGCTAGTACCTCCAGTACTATATTGAATAAAAGTGGGGACAGTGGACATCCTTGTCTTGTTTCCTATCTTAGAGGAAAAGCTTTCAGCTTCTTGCTGTTAAGTGGTATGTTGACTGTGGGTTTGTTATATATGGCCTTTATTATGTTGAGGTACTTGCCCTCTATGCCCATTTTATTGAGTTTTTATCATGAATGGATGTTGAATCTTATTGAATGCTTTTTCAGCATCTATTAAGATGATCATATGTTTTTTGTCCTTTTTGTTGATGTGGTATATGATGTTGGTGGATTTTTTAATATTGTACTATCCTTGCTTCCCTGGTTAAATCCCAGTTGATGATAATGGATGATCTTTTTGGTATATTTTTAAATTCTGTTTACTAATACTTTGTTGAGTATTTTTGCATTAATGTTCATCAGGAATATTGGTCTGTTATTTTCTTTTTTTGTGTTGTCTTTGCCTGATTTTGTTATTAGACTGATGCTGGCCTCATAGAATGAGTTTCGAAGTATTCCGTCCTCTTCTACTTTTTGAATGGGTTTCAGGTCTTCTCTAAATGTTTGATAAAATCCAGCAGTAAAGCTATTTGGTCCTGGTGTTTTGTTCTTAGGTAGATATTTTTGTTACCAATTTAATTTCATTGCTGGTAATTGGTCTGCTCAGATTTTCTGTTTTTTCCTGGTTCAGCCTTGGAAGTTTCTATTTTTCCAGGAAGTTGTCCATTTCTTTTAGGTTATTCAGTTGTTAGCATAAAATTTTTCTTCATATTCTCTAATAATTCTTTTGTATTTTTGTGGTTTCCTTTCTCAATTTTGATTCTGTTTATGTGTGTAGACTTTTTCCTTGATAAGTCTGGCTAGGGGATTATCTATTTTGTGTATTTTCTCAAAGAGCCACCTCCTGCTTTCATTTTTTTTTCTATTGTCTTATTCTTCTCAATTTTATTTATTTATTCTCTAATCTTTATTGTGTCCCTGCTTCTACTGACTCTGGGTCTCATTTGTTCTTCTTTTTCTAGTTTCATTAATTGTGAGTTTAGATGGTTTCTGTGGGATTATTCTTCTTTCCCAAGGTAAGCCTTTATTGTAGTATACTTCTCTTTTAGCGCCTCCTTTCCTGCGTCCCACAGATTTTGCAGTATTGAGTTATTGTTTTCATTTGTCTGTATATATTGCTTGATCTCTGTTTTTATTTGGTCATTGATACATTGATTATTTAGGAGCATGTTAAACCTTCATGTGTTTGTGAGCTTTTTTGTTTTCTTTGTATAATTTATTTCTGTTTTCATACCTTTGTGGTCTTAGAAGCTGGTTGGTACAATTTTAATCCTTAATTTACTGAGGCACTTTTTGTAGCCTAGTGTGTAATCTATTCTCGAAAATGTTCCATGTATACTTGAGAAGAATGTGTATCCCGCTACTTTTGGGTGGAGTGTTCTGTAGATGTCTGTTAGATTCATGTGTTCTAATGTGTTATTCAGTGCCTTACTCCTTAACTAATTTTCTATCTGGTTAATCTGTCATTTGGATTGAGTGGTGTGTTGAAGTCTCTGAAAATGAATGCATTGCATTCTATTTCCCCCTTTAATTCTGTAAGCATTTGTTTTACATATGTAGGTGTTCCTATGTTGGGTTCCATAGATATTTATAATGGTTATATCCTCTTATGGAGTGACCCCTTTATCATTATGTAATGTCCCTCTTTTTCTCTTGTTACTTTCTTTGAAGTCTGTTTTGTCTGATGCAAGTGCTGCAATTCCTGCTTTTTTCTCCCTATTAGTTGCTTGAAATATCTTCTTCTATCCCTT